CGGGACCGTGACGCCCCGGGGGGGGGACCGAGGTGCAGCCGCAGACATCACAGGTCGGCAGATCGGGTAGCAACATCTCAATCTGTTTGTCTTTTGAGTTTTCACCAAAATGGTGGGAGCTGTGTCCCCGGCCTCTGCCAGTCCACAGGGGGCGGGTCGGGGGAGGGCCGCTCACTGATGCTTTGGGGAATCTCCACCCAAACACATTCGCACTCGCCCCCGACCGTTCCTCCAGGCCACCCAGGTGTCCCCCTCCCCCTCCTCCTGGCTGCTGCAGGAGCCCCTACCCTTGGAGCTCCAGCCACCTCTGCACCCTCACAGCCCCAGCCTGGCCCCTGCGGGCTTCAGGATTGACCTCTGGCCTCCACGCCCCACCTCCCCACGCACCAGGGACAGGCTTGAGAGCCTTTGTTCAAATGCCCCCCCCCCCCCCATATCACTTTCCCTCCACTGTCCCAGGCACCTCGCCTTTACCTGCCTCCCTCCTCAGCCCCAAGGGCCCTTCCTCTGCCTCGGTGACTTATTTCCTACATCGGTTCCTTCTATGAATCTCTTCCGCAACCGCTGTGACTTCCTAAATCAGTGATGGCGAACCTTTTGAGTTCGGCGTGTCAGCATTTTGAAAAACCCTAACTTAACTCTGGTGCCGTGTCACATATAGAAATTTTTTGATATTTGCAACCATAGTAAAACAAAGACTTATATTTTTGATATTTATTTTATATATTTAAATGCCATTTAACAAAGAAAAATCAACCAAAAAAAATGAGTTTGCGTGTCACCTCTGACACGCGTGTCATAGGTTCGCCATCACTGTCCTAAATAAATGTCCTCTTCTAGTTTGAGTCTTGGCTCTGAATTCTTTCCCAGCCTAAGGCCTCACAATAGCGGGGGGTGTTCTCCTCAGGCCATTGGGGCTCCTGCCGGGTCGAAGCCCCGAGACTGAGAGAGGAAGGTGGCCCAGAGAGCCGTCTCCCAGGGGCACACAGGGCGGGGCAGGTCCCCAGCCCCCGGGTGCTCCCTGAGGAGCACCCACCTCTCCAACCCCCACTCCCCTCCCAGCCCCGGGTTCGGGTGCCGTTCCTCCCTGTACTTTTTACTTTCTTTCTCTCCCTTTATCTTTCTTGCTTTTGTTGACTCCTCCCCCCACTTCCCTGGGACAGCAGCTCGTGCTGTGGCTGTCGGCGTCTGTTCCCGCCGGGCCGTCTCCCTCCGGCTGGGAGCTCCTTTGCCTCTGAGTGCACAGGCCCCTGCGGACACTGAGCACCTGGCCTGCGCTCCCTGTCCCCCCCCCCGCCCCTGGCATCTCGGCCGGCCTCCCAGCCACAGGGACCCTCACCCCGTTCACAGATGATAAACCCAGGCGCGAGGAGCTCATGATTCGGACCTACAGCTCCACCGCCCGGAGAGCCCCGCAGAGACCTCCTCCTTCACCAGCTGTGCGTGTGGCTGCCCGAGTGGGGACGCTAACGCAGAGGTGAGGCGCAGGGTCCGATCGGGACCGAGCGGCTGCCTCAGGGGAGGGCTTACAGTGTCACCCGCACCCACTGGACACGCACAGACCGTACAGGTGCAGGCACAGCCCACCCTGCCCTGCCGCCAGGGCCCGCG